CATGGGCGCCGCGCCTATGTGGCCCTCTGCGCCATCTCGTCGCGCCCGCGCTTGCGCCGCTCTCGAGCCGTGATCGAGGGTCCTTCCCGCGGCGTTGTCAGTGCGTGCGCGGGCGACTTGGGCGCGTTCATCTTCCGGGTCGCGATTCTGCGTCTGCTTGCGGTCGTCTTCCGCGCAGCGGCGCGCATGGCTGGGCTCGCGCCTGGTCAAGCAGTGCTGTGTAGCCCCGCTGTTCGCTCCGCGCGCGCCACTAGTGATCGCAGCAATTCGTTTCCAGTTGCAGCGCGAGATCCCAGAGTGGTCAGAGATGTCAGTCGACCCGTGCTCGAGATGCCTCGGAGCGTTGGTCGGGCTGCAATCGGAGGGGGCTCTCTGGCAGGCCTCGCCCCTGAAGTGTCGCGCTTGGGCCCGGCGCGTTGCTGCCGCTCGCGCCCCGCAGCCAGTCTCGGCGCGCGCGTGCAACAAACGTGTGGCCACCGTGCTTTCCCAGATATTTCAGCAATTCCTGCTCCCGCAATTCGCCCCTCGTGTCGAGCGCGCTCGCGTGGCAATGATTCGATGAATTCAGCGGTGTCGCCTCGCCCGCGCCGGTTGCGCCAATCTCGACAGTTGGGCGGGCCGAGGCTAGCCGGCGCGGCCGTTGCGCATCTTGCCGCCCTTGTGCGTTGTGTTTCGAGAACATTCAATGAGTGGCCAAAGTTGTGCGACGAGCTTCGTAATTTGCCGCTTCTTCAATTTGCCCTTGCAGAGGTCTTGGGGGGGGCAGCTTTCCCCCGACTTTGGGGCGCTCTTCGATGGCCCGAACTTTGCGGGGTGCCAGCCGCCCCTTTCCGCCCCGACCATTTTAATTCGGCGACGCGCCGCCCCCATCGCCCCGTCCCGCCACATCCCCAGCAGCCCAGTGCCCTCTCCTCCCTGCCTCCCTCGGCCCCGACCATTTTATTTCGGCGTCGCACCGCCCCCTCCCGGCCCGCCCCCCCGCCCCTGTTTCCACCCCTACCCACCCACACCCACCACCACCACCACCACCAGCGCAACCCCCTCCGTTTCGACTAGTCAATTTCGGCGTCGCGTCGCGCCGCCCTCACCGTTGCCCAGCAGCCCAGTGCCCTCTCCACCCCGACCTCCTCCGCCCCCTCCACTTTCTTTCGGCGTCGCACCCCCCCCCTCCCCCCAGCGTGACCCCCTCCGCCCCGACCAAGTATTTCGGCGTCGCACCGCCCTCACCCAGCGTTCCCCAGCCCCCTCTCCCCGCCCCCCTCCGCCCCGACCATTTCATTTCGGCGTCGCACCGCACCCACCGCCCTCCTCCTCCTCTGCCCCCCCTCCCCCCCCCCCTGCATCCCCCCCTCCGCCCCGGCCGCTTTTTTGTTTGGCGTCGCACCGCCCCCACCGCCCCGCCCCCCCCCCGCTCGCCCCCCCCCCCCCCCCCCCCCCCCCCCCCCCCCACACCCACCACACCCCGCACACCACCACCAGCAGGACCCCCTGCTCCTCTGCCCACCTTCCCCTCCTGCGTGCCCCCCTCCACCCCGGCCGTTTTTTTTTGTTTGGCGTCGCACCGCCACACCGTCATTGGGTTACACGAACCGTTAGGATCGATCTTCGGACATACTGGAGGCCATCTCGGATATCGATTTCGAGCTAAATTGGGCCATCTTGTCTGCCATCTGCCATCCGATGCTATCGTGAGCCATCTTGGAGGCCAATCTCGAAGCATCCGAGGCTCTCTTGGAGCCATCTTGGGCCATCTTAGGCGCTCTGACCGCTCTGCGCCCCCGTCCCCGAACAACAAACAGGGAACAGAGGGGGAGGGTACCCCGCCCCGAAGGGAAGAATAGCTTTGAAAGAGGACACGAAACTGCTCCCAGAATGCCGGTGGGAATTCGCGACGGCGCTCGCACCGCGCCCGCCCCCCTCCGCCCCCATACCATGCTCTTCGCTGACGCCGACGCTGCTCGAGTACGCCCTCTGACGCCCTTCTTGCGGCCCTCTGTGTGCACTCCTTCTCCGATTTCTCGTCTCCTCTCTCACCCCCTCCTCCTCCTCCTCCTCCTTCCCCCTCCCTCTTGTGCAAGAGCCATGGCACGCGTGCCACTTGCTTACGCTCGCTGCCGCGCGACATGGGGATGCTGTCTCAGGCCGCCGCTCAGGCAGTGCTGCCACGGGTGAAGGCGGCCCGTCGCCGCGCAGCTGTCCAGCCTCGAGGAGAACCTTGGCGCGCCCGCCCACGTGGCAAGGAGGAGAGGGGAAGCATGGAATGAGGAGGAAGAGGTTTTTTGGGGGGCCTTCTTGGGGCTTCCTGGGGGCGTCCTGGGAGCTTCCTGAAAGCTTCTTGGGGCCCTCTTGGGGGCCTCCCGGGGGCCTCTTGGGGCCTCTTGGGCTGTCTTGGGGGACTCTTGGCTCGTCTGGCGCCTATGGAGGCCGCCTTTGGGGCCTCTCTAGGCCGCGTTGGTGCCCTCTTGCGCCGGTTCACGGCCGTCTTCGGGCCCTCTTGGGAGCCCCTTGGGCGATTTTTGGATCCTGTTGGGCCAGCTTGGGGCCCTCTTGGGGGCCTCTATGGCTATCTTGGAGCTATCTTGGAGGGCTCTTGGAAACTTCTTGGGCCGTCTTGGGCGGTCAGAAACCTGGGCAGGTGAGAACTTCAAAGCCTTTCAAACACCACATGATAATCAATGGTTTTGGTCTCTTCGGGCTCACCAGGAGGGCCTCTAAGAGACCCCTTGGGCCATCTTGGGGGCCTCCTGATCTGTCGTGAGGCTGCCTTGGAGGCCTCTTGAGCCGTCTTGGGCCATGTTGGAGCGTCTTGGCGTCATTTCGGCTGCTTTGAAAGCCGTCCTGGAGGCCATGCGGGAGAGGTTTCTAAGAGGCCCTGCACGAGAGCCCGGGGAGGCCAACACCATTGATGTCCCATCGGTGCCTGGAAGATATTGAGGTTCTGGTATTTTTGGGTTTCCGACCGCCCACGGCAGCCCAAGAGGCCTCTCCGGGCCGTGTTGTTGCTCTTCTGGGTCGTTTCAAAGCCGTATTGGGGCCCTCATTGTGGGCCCCTTGGCAGATCTTTGGGTCCTCAGGGGTCGATTTGGGGCCCTCTTGGGGGCCTCTTGGGCCGTCTTGAAGCTATCTTGGAGGGCTCTTGGAAGCCTGTTGGACCGCCTTGGGTTGTCGGAAACCTGAACAGGCGAGACTTTGAAATCATTCAGACACTTGTAAGGGCAATCGATGTGTTTGGCCTCGTCGGGCTCTCCTGGAATGCCTGTTGGAACTCTCTCGGGCCGTCTCAGGGGCCTCTTGGGCCGTCTTGAGCCGTCTTGAGCTTCCTTGAGACGTCTTGAGGTTTTGATGAGAGGCTCTTGAGCTGTCTTGGACCATCTTGAGCCGTTTTGTTGTCGTCTTGGCTGTCTTGGAAGCCGTCTTGGAGGCCATCTTGGCCGTCTGGAGGCAGAAGGAGCAGCTAAGCAACATTAATTTAAACAAAGCATTGACGTTTTTCGGGTCGTGCGCGACGAGTCTGTGTTGGGGGGATTTGGGGGCGGGGGGCCTTGAAATTCGTATAAGGTCCCACTCGACAACGCGATGCATTCTAAGTTGGCACGGTGCAGGATATTATACGTATGGGCTCATACGTATACACACATATATACATGTATATGCAGTTATATATGCATATGCATATGTTTCTGCCTATGTATATGTCTATGTTTATGTGTGTGTGTCCATGTATATGTATATGCATATGTATATGGATTGGTGCATGTATCTGCGTATGTATATCATATGTATATACATGCACATATATACATGTATACGTAGTTGTGTGTGAGTGCACGCATTCGTATGCGTATACGTATATGTATATGTATATGCATACGTTGATGCTTGTGTATATCTGGATGTGTATGTGTATGTATATGTGTCTGCACCTGTATACGTACATGTATAGTTTTATATGCATGTGTATGTGTATGTGTGTATGTGTATGTGTCTATGTCATGTACAGGTAGATATGTACGCGCATGCATATGTATAGATACATACATGTATATACACATATATATACATATATATATATATATATAAATGTGTGTGTACATGTACAGATGCATGCATGTGTTTGTGTATATGTATACATGTATTCATATTTTTATGTATATGTACATGTAGGCGCATGTAACTACATACATGTTTCCTCTTTCTGTATATATAAGCTGATGGGTCCGCACGCACGTGTGTATCCAGATCTATATTTAGATCGTTATGTACAGACTCGTGTTTCGGTCTTCGTGCGTATGTTTATGCACACATGCATGTATGTCGAGAGAGGGAGAGAAATACGCAGAGAGAGAGAGAGAGAGAGAAAGAGAGAGAGAGAGACAGAGCGAGAAAACAAACTAAACATACAGCACGAGAGCGAGAGAGAGAGAGAGAGAGGCAGAGAAAGAGAGAGAGGGATAGAGAGGTGATGATGCTGATGACGATGATGATCATGATGATCATGATGATGATGACGATGATGATGATGCTGATGAGGATGATGATGATGATGATGATGATGATGACGATCATGGTGATGGTGATGATGATGCTGCTGCTGATGATGATGATGATGATGATGATGATGATGATAATGCTTGTAATGATGCCGACGATGGCGATGACAATGACGATGACGATGACGATGACGATGCTGACGATGACGATGATGATGATGATGATGATGATGATGATGATGATGATGATGATGATGATGATGATGATGATGACGATGATCATGATCATGATGATGCAGCTAATGAAAATGATGATGATGATGATGATGATGATGATGATGATGATGATGATGATGATGATGATGATGATGATGATGATGAGGAGGAGGAGGAGGAGGAGGAGGAGGAGGAGGAGGAGGAGGAGGAGGGGGAAGGAGGAGGGGGAGGAGGAGAGGGGAGGAGGAGGAGGGAGAAGGATGGTGATGAGGAGGAGATAGGAGGGACGGGCAGGACCGCTGGGATTCTTTCTCCGCTTTCTGGTGAACTACCCGTGCCTCACGTTGCTGCTCGGGCTGGCACAGTCGCTGGCCTTCAGCGCGGCAGGGCTGTTGGCGTCAGACTTCGTGATCCCTGTTGACTGGGAAGTGGGCGGCTACATGGACAGCGACTCCGACATCAGGTTCATGGAGGACGCCGCCCGCCGAGGTTTTTACTGGTCCCTGGTCCTCTCTCTCCTCCTCGGGGTCGGGTTCCCGGGGCCGCCGTCTGAGTGCCCGCACGGCCCTCGTGGGCTGCTGCGGCGCGCTCCGCGCTCCGGGCGCTCGTGGAGACGCTGCTCGGAGCGAGAAACGCAGAAACGCAGACGCCGCCCGACCGAGAGCATACGTGGGCAGCCCGGCGGGGAGGCTGCGGTGCGCCAAAGGTAGAGTTTAGGCCCGCGTCTTCCTCCATTCGGCCTTTGTCCTCCTGCTCCTCCTCCTCTTCCTCCTCTCTCTCCTCCACTGCTCTTCCTCCTTAGCTCGATTGAGTTTCTATTATTCTCCTTCATGGTTTGGCTGGGCCGAATCCGACATCAGCTGGCCGCCTCCCCCTCCTCCTCGTCCGCTTCCTCCTTCTCCTCCTTCTCCTCTTTCCCCTTCTTCTCCTTTTCCTCCACCCCTGAGGCCTCCAGAGTTCTCCAGAGGCTTCTGGAGGCTTCTGGACAATTCCAGAGGTCTTGGAGGCCTCCGCTCCAAAGGCCGTCAACGTCGAAAGACGGGACCTCTTCCCCTCCCCCGTCCTCCTTCTTTTCCCTTCTCCCTCCTCCCTCCTCGTCTCTCTTCTTTCCTCCCTCCTCCCTCCTCGCTTCCTCCTCCTTGCTCCATTCTGTCCTTCCCCGTCGGGTCGCCGGTCGGGGCGGCTTCAGACCGGCGGCCGGCCCAGACCTCTGCCCACAGGGCCGCTGGCTCCCTTTCTTGGAGAGGCGCCTGCCGCTCTTCGCGGCGCGCAGAAAGGTAAGTCTCCAGGCTTTCTTTCGTAGCCCTCCTGTGTGGAGTTGGGTCTTCGTTTTGAATCAGCAGCGCCCCGCGTCCTCCCCTGTCCTCCTCCTCCTCCTCCTTATCCTCCTCCTCCTCCTCCTCCATCCCTTTTCCTCATAAATAACTTTCCCTGCCGCGCCCCCGGACGTGTCCGTAGGGCGGGCCCAGCGTTGCGCTTGAGATTTCTGCGTCGTTGATGTTCCCAGAGCCTGAAAGTTGCAACAGTTTCACGTTTGGAGGGCTCTCGCCTTGGCGCCGCGAACATGTGGTTTAAACGCCTGCAGTAGTTTCACGGATGGAGGGCGGGTCGCCTTCACACAATGTTGTTCCCAATCATTCTGTGGCGTTGGTCCATCGTTTTGAAGAGACAGCGCCCCGCGTCCCTCCTTCCTTCCTTCCTCCTCCCCCTCCTCCCTCCTCCCACCCCTTGCACCCCTGACACGTTTCGTGGCCGCATAGGGAGCTCCACCGCAGGCCCCAGTGGCAGGGTTCGCATGCGGTTCCACCTCAATTTCGGCGCACCCCTCAAACGGTTCGTGGCCCCATAGGGGGTTCCACCGAAGGCCCGAGTTGCAGGGTTAGCATGCGGTTCCACGCACATTTCGGCACACCCCTGGCACGTTTCGTGGCCCCATAGCGAGCTCTACCGAAGGCCCCAGTGGCAGGGTTCGCATGCGGTTCCTCCTCCACTTCGGCACACCCCGCACTCGTTGCGTGGCCCCATAGGGAGCTCCACCGAGGGCCCTAGTGGCAGACAGGGCTCGAATGCGGCTCCAAACCTAATTTCGGCACGCCTCTCACACGTTTCGTGGCCACATGAAGAGCATCACCGAAGGCCCCAGTGGCAGGGTTCGCATGGCACCGCTGCCTCCATTTCGGCGCACCCCTCACACGGTTCGTGGCCCTATAGGGGGTTCCACCGAAGGCCCGAGTTGCAGGGTTCGCATGCGGTGTCCCCCACCACATTTCGGCACACCCTTGACACGTTTCGTGGCCCCATAGCGAGCTCCACCGAAGGCCCCAGTGGCAGGGTTTGCATGCGGTTCCACCTCCAATTTCGGCTCATCTCTCATATGTTGCGTGGCCCCATCGGGAGCTCCACCGAGGGCCCCAGTGGCAGGGTTCGCATGCGGTTCCACCCTCCCCTCCTTGCCTTCTTCTTCTTGCCTCCTCCTCCTCCTCCTCCTCCTTCTCCTCCTCCTTGTCCGCCTCCTCCTCCTCCTGTGATGATCCCAGGGTGGCTGCGAACTGAGCAGCTTTCGCCACTTTCGTGGGCTCCTGGGAGGCACGGCGGAGGTGAGGGCAGCGCAGATCCATTCGAGACCTCGCGGCCCACTCTGGGGCCGCGAGCTGTGCCAGTGTCGCTGCGTTCGTGGGCTCCTGGGAGGCACGGAGGAGGTGAGGGCAGCGCAGATTCCTTCGAGACCTCGCGGCTCCCCCTGGGGCTGTGAACTCCGCAACTGTCGCCACTCTCGTGGGCTCCTGGGAGGCACGGCGGAGGTAAGGCCGCGCAGATCCTTTTGAGTCCTCGCAGCTTCTTCGGTGCTGCGAACTGCGCAACCGTCGCCACTTTCGTGGGGAGCCACGGCGGAGGTGAGACATCCTTCACATATATGTATGTGTATATATATACACACAACAACTTAGTTATAAGCGCACATTTATATAATGTATATATACGCAGCATATACACATTATATGCTCTTTGGAATTCAGCGTGTATATAGTAGTCGCCCCGCGTATATGAGGAGTTGGGTACGGCTCGGGTAATAAACCCTGCCACCGCGCTAGGACATCAGCGCAGCGTGACGGAGGTTGAGTTAAATTTGCATGTCGGGGCTTCTCTGGGGCCCCTTGAGGGCCCCTCGGGAGCCTTAAGGTCCGTTTGGGAGGCCTTTGGTGTTCTGTAGGGGGACCTCTGGGAGGCCCCTTGGAGATCTCTTGGGCCTCTCGGTGGCGTCTTGGGGACCTCTGGGGGCCTCTTTGGGGCCTCTTGATAGCATGTTGGAAGTCTTGCATACGCTCGTCCACACGCCACGTACCAGCACTCTTCCTGCCCTTCCTCTGGCCTCAACGGGCCAGCTCAGGGGCGCGCTCATCCCCCAGTGGGCGTGACAGACCAGACAGACGACAAGACAGACAGACAGCAAGGACCGACAGGCCGACGACGACAGACGCGCCCACACCAGCGACAGGCAACCGCGGCCCCCAGGCAGGGCAGCGCGCCTTGAGCACAGACTCCCTTCTTTCCCAAGGCGCAAAAAGAGGGGTTCCCCCAGAGGCCAGGAGTGGAAAAGGGGATGCCGCACCGCTCGTTCGTCAGATTTTCTTGCCCTTCAAACCTGCGGCTTGCAAGCGAAGAAACAAAAGGCTCCCAAGCCAGTAGGTCAAAATATGTCAAAGCCCCAAGGCAAATAAAACCAACGCTTTCTGCTCTCGTGGTCCTCTTGGGCGTCCTCTTGGGGCCCTATTGGGCCGCCTGGGGTGCCTCTCGAGCCAACTTGAGGCCATCTTGGGCCATCCTCGGGCCCCCTTGGCGCGTCTGAAGGCCTTGTTGGGCCGTCCTGGGGCCGCCTTGGAGGCCTTCTGGCCGTCTTGAACCCGTCGCTGCTCGTCGACGACGTAGTGATGCAGGCTGAGTCGGTCGCCACGGGGTTTGGCCCGCCGCTGACGGCGAACGGCTCAGACGGATCTCCGCAGGATGATCCGACTCCTAGTGCCCAGGCCAAGCAGGGTGACGGAGCGGGGGCGAGTACAACACCTGGGGATCACGCGGAGCGCCACAACAACAGCAGACGCCAGAAGACGAGACGGCTCAGGCGCAGAGGCTCGAGGCAGGATCGGCAGCAACAATGGGCGACTCTGACGTGAATGCGGCAACCCAGCCAGTCCGTGATGCCCACATTCCTGCACCTGGTCACTCTGCTGGGGCCCCACACGACGAAGACGCGAAGCCGGCGTACCAGGACACCTCGGTCGACTTTCAGGGTTCCGATACTAGGTACCGCCAATGAGTCCCGAGCTGCCAATAGACAGTGACCCTTCCGCGCCCGCAGACGTCACCGAGGAGGGATCCTGCGGGAAGGCTCCAGCTCGCACGGTCACCGGTCACAACCAGCGCTACCGACAAAGCAAGCAGCAGCCACGACTCTGCTGACAAACGGAAGCCGCTGGAAACCCAGGCACCTGGAGACCACAACAAGCAGGGGGGTCGCGAGACAGGCCAGCCTGGGCCCCGGCAGTGGGCTACGGCAAGGGGCGCGACCGTCCGCCACGGAAACCCCGCGAGCAGGCCCAAGAAAGCGGGCCACGCACGCATAGTCCCGTAAGCATCGGACGGGCTGACCACAGCTACAGCTGGAACGCGCGTGACAACGCACAGGCGCGCGGGTCCACCTGGTCAAACCGTTCGCAAAGCAGCCGCGCCAACGGGATGTGGCATCACGTTGAATGGCGCGACAGAGCCGCCAACCCACTCACGACGAGCGACCGTCGCGCCCCAGACGGTAGCCAAATGTACAAGACGCCCACGCACCTGGTGGAGGCGCAAGGCAAGCTCGAGAACGACCGCTACTTCATCAAGAGGATGCAGACTGAGCTCGGTGCCACCTTGAACGAGGTCCGGCACCAGTGGGCTGAGCGCCACGAAACTTCGCCTGGATTCGTTCCTAAGAATCCGTTAGAGCAGAGCTTGCGCACCTGCGAAGCTTTCCTGGACGCATGGAACTTCTGCAACTACGACGCCTACTAGCGGAGTCAGCACCTGGAGCTCAACGCGAACTTCGCGCAGGCACGATGAGAGCACATGACAAGGGATCGAGGCGATTCCAGGCGACAAGGTAAGGGCCACGATCTTGCTGACACCTCTGACGCGAGTAACGGCAAACAGGGCAAGCGCAGCTCCGACCGGGTTGGTCACCTGCCATAAAAGAGGCTCCGCCCGTATGGCCCGCCTACAGACTTCCCTTGCGACGCAGCCCAGCATGCGGCAGGACTGGCTCACAGCCGGTGCTGGCCTTTCCTCCTCTCATCACCTGCGCAACGCGTATCTGCAACGGTCCGCTGCTCCACCTCTTCTCCTGGCCTTGTGTTCTGGGGTCGCCCTTCTCTCTGCTCCACTTCTTCTCCACTTATCCACGCTCGCCATTTCCACAGTCCACGTTTTCGCAGCGGTCATTTGTTCCTGGGGTTCGCCCCCGCCACCTCTTTCTTCCTTTATTGCATGTGCAGCGATCAGCTGCCGCACCTGCAGTCAACCCTGATAGTGAGGATGGGGCAACTTGCCAAGGATTCCCTTGCATCCTTGCCACTTCGGTATTCGGCATCCTTCGGCATTCTGCTACGCTCCGCACGGGAAACGTCAACATGGCGTTCCAAGGCGCTTGCATCCTTACCGCGCATCCTTACCATCCTGGTCGAGTGCACTGTCTTCGCTCCTCGTTGCCTGTGCTTGCGACGATCAGTCGCCGTCCTCCCACTCTCGGCTACTCCCTGGGGCTACTGGCTGGCAGGCACCTCTCGTGATCCTGCCTCGCGCTGGCACGCCTGCTGGCGCCTGGTGCTGCGGGCTCCCGGCGGCTGGGGCCGCTGGCGCCCGCCCCGCTGCTACTCAGGGTGCCCGCTGCGCATAGGCGGCGGCCGCCGGCGGGTCTTGGCTCCCGGCGATGCACGCTGGGTCGCACTCCTGGCTGGTGACGTCTTATCAACTGCTGCAGCTGCTGCCAGGTCTGGGTTGCGGATGGCTTGCGCGCTGCAGCCTGCACTGGGCGGCGGCGCCCTCCCTGCTCCTCGTCGTCTTGATGGCCGCAAGGATTCATGGCGATGGTGTTCGGCAAGGGGGCGCTGCTGGTTAGTGGGGATCCTCCCCTGTCGCCGACTGTCGCTGAAGGCGCTGTTCGGCGAGGGTTCGCTGGTGATGCTCGAGTTCGTCTGCGGTCTCGGCTCTGGACCTCGGCGCGGGCATGACCTTGAGGGCGGCTGGCTGCTGGGCTGCCGGCCCGTCTGCCGCGCCGCCGCGCGGGTTGCCCGCTGCGGCGGCGCTGTGCTCGTCTTCCTGGCGCCGCGTGTTCGCTGTCGCCCTGGGGCGCCTCGTTCACGGCGTCGCCGTGCCGGCTACTGCAGCTGCCTCCGGGTCTCGGCGCGCGGGGCGTCCTGATGGCTGGTCGCGCTGCTCGTGGCTCTTCTCTCCAGCGCTGCGCTTGCCCCAGCCTGGGGGGCCTCCGACCTGCTCGCTGGATGGCGCGGAGCGGCCGCGGCCCGACCGACTACCGCCTCCTCCTTGCACAGCAGCTCCTCACCGCGCTGTCGCTGCCCGACTGCGCGTTCTACTACCTGGGGACCTGGAGGCCGTTTGTCTCCTCGGCGTCCGCTTGGACCACGCCCGTCTCTCGGTGTCGTTCACGCTGCTCCTTCGGGGTCGCCTGCTCGTTTCTCTATGTCCGTGAAGGCCGTCAGGCTTAAATGACTTCGAGTTCGACGTGCTTACCTGGAGAGTATGTTATGGACGCCAGTCTGCTCTCGCTGTTTTGGCTGCCGCATGATTGCTGGGTATTCGTGGCTGCTGGCCCTTCTTGGACACCTTCTTCGGCAAGTGCGTCCTGGAGGGGTCGAGCTGCCGACTTTCCATGTGCGTGGTCGCTCTCCCTCCTCCTCCTAACTTGCGTCCTAATTGGCACCTCGGTGGACGTGACCTCGGTGCTGATTTGTGTTGTCTCCCGCACGCGTTCTCGGCTGCGCTGAGTTCAGTTCCGCTCTGAGCCGGGTGCCGCTCGCCTCGCTGCTTGTTTGTTTCTTCCTTTGCTTCGGCACGGCCCGCCCTGGCTCGCACGGCGTTCGACTCGTCTTCGAGCGCCCGCGTGCCAAAAGTATGTGCCCATGAGAGCTGGAAGGGGAAACGGGACGAAGAGACAGGTGTTGGCAAACAGAGCGGGCAACCAGGATGAACAGAGAATCTCTGGGAACACGGGGGGGCCTTGGAGGGCCTCTTCGGGCCATCCATGGGGCCCACGTGGGGGCGAGGGAGGGGGGAGAAGGGAGAGGAGGAGGAGGAGAAGGAGGAGGAGGAGGAGGAGGAGGAGGAGGAGGAGGGGGAGGAGGAAGGGGAGGAGGAGGAGGAGGAGGAGGAGGGAGGAGGAGGAGGAGGAGGCGGAGGCGGCGGCGGAGGAGGAGGAGGAGGCGGAGGAGGAGGAGGAGGAAGAAGAAGAAGACGACGACGAACACATAATAATAAGAAACATAATACGAAGACAAAGCATACTAATACTACTCATATTAATATTACTAATACGAAGAAGAATAGTACGAACAATACTACTAACAATGAGAATAATACTAAGACTAATAACAACACCAATCATACTAAGACGAACAATACTGCTACTAGGAATAAGAATACGAAGAATACTAATACGAATACTACTACTAATAATACGAATACGAATGAGAATTCTAATAAGAACAAGAAGAAACATAAGAAGAGGAGGAGGAGGATGAGGAGGAAAAGGGAGAGGAGGATGAGGCGGAGGAGGAGGAGGAGGAGGAAGAGGAGGAGGAGGAAAAGAGGAGGAGAGGAGGAGGAGAAGAGAGGAGGAGGAGGAGGAGGAGGAGGAGGAGGGGAGGAGGAGGGGGAGGAG